TGTTTATGCTTAGTTTTAAAGCTACTTAAAATATGATGTTGGATCTAAAGTTAATGTTTTCAAATGCTGGTGTTGATACTTGTCATGTAAGCAATGCAGAGGGACTTGCCAAGAAAGCAGGCGCAACAGTGTGTTCTGGATGCTTACATTTATAAAGGCTGGAAATGTATCCTGAAGTTCTCAGTATTTATATCTTGCTTCCTGATTTATTCTTGTAGCTCCTAGGCAGTGTTTTAAAATAGCATAAGGAAAGCAAAGAAATAAATGGTAATAAGTTTGACCTGTAAGAAATGTCAGCTTGTATTGACTGTATAGTGACAGCACATGAAAACATAAGGTTTGTATGTGAGGAAGCATTTCTTTTTCCAGAAGAGCTTTACATCCCATTCTTTTGATCTCAGTTATGGTTTGCAAAACTAACAGAAAGTTGGTTTGGTTTTGATTTGGGTTTTTTTTTTTTTCCTTTCCTTTGCTTTATTTGAATTACCTTCCTCTCATTTTGAATTACAGTCATGAAAACCTGATAGCTGCTTTGAATGGAGGAAATGCTCTTTGTTTTTTAAGTGCTGAGGAATTGTATAGTGTGTGACCTATCTGCAAAGTTAAAAATTGTAATATCTATTAGACCAGAGTAATAGTCATAGTACAGGACTCTGGAGTTGAGTATAAATATATGAAGTTGAAAAGAAACAAACTGGGAATATTAAGAATGTTTTTGACCTACAATCTGATCAGTAAGTATATCATCCATAATATATGAAGTACTCTGTATAACTTAAGGCAAAAGTTCTAAGGAAGGGTTTTAACTAAGGAACATGTGTTTTGTATAAAGAACGAGTAAGAAAAGATGCTAAGGAAAAGGGTAAGAACAAATAAGCCAAGAACAAGTAGGTTTAGAAAGCTGAGGACTGAAGTTCAGGGTGGTAGTCGGGGGTTTCTCTAATGAAATGAAAGAAGTTATAGAATAAGAATGGGGAAAGGAGGGCAACTAGGAATCAAAGAGTTCTTATTTTTCTTTTCAGTACTTTTCTTGCTGGAAGTAAACACACTTCTAGTTAGAAAACCAAAGTGTCAGAAAAAAGATACTGAAATTTTGGAGATCAGGTTCAAATTGTAAAGGGGTGTTCTATAGCTGGCAAAGTAGTGTGACTGTAGCATACAGCAGATTTCATGGGCAAATTAGTCTGGTTTCAGGATTTTAATTGAAAACATTTAGCAGAAGAGCAGGAATTAAAGTCATAGATGATTGTAGTGGGTTTAGGACTAGAAATAGGATAAATTGGCCTTGTGGGGGGAAGAAAGTGGGCAAAAGGAGCAGGAGGGAAGGATCTATGAGCCAAATGTAGAAAATGAATGGCAGATGGAGAAAAACAAAATCTGTATTAGTAGAAGTTAGGGCAAAGGAAGATGGGAAATATTATTTATATATCTGCAGTGAGGTGCTCATAGTTACGTACTACGAGCATCTATTTATCATTCTTTAATGACACTATGCAGCCTTTGTAGAAAGAAATCATGTCATCCCTATGTAGCAGCAGCCTGGGAAACACAGAAGAATCCTATTCATGTGCTGAAGTTTTTGTGTTACCATTAGTTAAAAAGCTAAAAAATTGCTAATTTCTTTTTGAATTGATTTTGCACTCCACAGATGCCATAGGAAGAAATATCTGAGCATAAGCAGAGTTCTCTCCATTCATGGCCAAATATGAAAGGTTGAATTAGTGGCAGAGAGGCACAGACTTACTGGACCAGGTAGTAGTTGGAGAGAGAGCCCTGATCAGGCAGAAGGGGAATGTGAGAAGCTGCACATGAGGAAGACTAGGTCATGTAACCTTTCAGTGCCTTCAGGACAAACCAGTCATAAACTCCATCCCTTCACTTCCAGTACTGTATTTTTTGGTTTTTTCTATGTGTCAAAACAAGCCCCTGAGTATCTTATACTAAACATTCCAAACTCATATTGTTTAAAACATGTTTGCAGCTGCATCAAATAGCTTCACTTGAACAAAAAGTGCTGTAATTGCATGAGCCTAAAATATTTTTTTTCTTTTTCTGGGGCAAAAGAAAATGCTTTTAATTTTTTTGTGATACCGTCTGTGTTGTACTGAGATTTATGTTAACCTTTTCTAATGTATTTTTTGTAAGAAGGAAAGTTGTTACCTAGAAAGGCTTAAAATCTGCAACATGAATAACGGAAGTACAAGCAGAAGTTTTTGGCATGGCTGCAGTGAAATTAGTGTCTTAACTAGTTAGTGATACAAATACTGTGAGAGAATGGAGGAAACACGGGGCTTGGTCAGCTTTGCTTCTTTTCCATGCAATCTTTGTGCCTTGTTCTGTTTCCCACCCTTGCAGCACCACACATGTGATCCAAGGCAACTCAGCTCTGATGCTGTGTTGGAATTCATAGCATGTCTTTGCTCATTGTGACATTCTCCAAATAAGGAAAGTAAAAAATGACTCATGTAAGAGTGTTCTCTTACAAATTGCTTCACTACTGTTACTTTTGTATGCCAAACACTTATTAAAACTTGGGAAAACTGAATGATTGTTTAGCAGCTTCAGAAATCTGATAAATCAAGTATTGGGTTATTGCCATCTCTTTTGTCTCTTTTTTTTCAAATTCCTTAGCAGTCTGTTTCCTTACGCAGCCTAAAATCAATGAGCTAGGTACCATGCCCCTTGGCCTAAATAAAGTTTAGCTTTTACTTTGGTGCAGTTGAAACAAAGGTGCTACTGGGTTTCTTACCAGCTGGTGATTATCTTGTAATCAAAGGCTTAATATGCTGGCAGTGCCTATTCTTCTCTAGAAACCAGATTTTATGATGTGATTTTCCATAGCAAGAAGTGGATCACCATGCTGGGAGTCCATACATGGTGAAGAGTGTGAGGAATAAAATGAGGGCTCACAGAGCAGGTATTTTTTTTGTTGTATCCAGCTGCCAGTGAAATAAGTACAGTTTAACTGGGCGAAAGTCACGGGATTTTGTTCTTTATTGTCTCTTTGCATAGAACTTAATGTATTTCAGACTTAAGTGATACTAAAATGGTGCCAGCAATCTAGTTTGTATTCCAGCATGTTAAATATGTTAGAGAGAAGTCTTTCATTTTTAAATGTTTAATTCCTAATTTGAATAAATGCCAACTGTCATGACTCTTCTCAGTGTAGCCATTTAAGGAGTAAAATGAAAAGAGCATATGCTTGAGTCACTTCAAGTCACTCTCTTCAAAATCTGCATGCATCTGCAAAGTTGCAATCTCCAGTTAGTGAGACCCAGTATGTGATTAATAGATATAGTAAAGGATGTAGTAAGTATGTACTAATTTAGTTACTTAAACTTGTCATGGATATCATAACTCTCTTATGAGTGGAAATACATGTCTCTTTCTGGTGCTATGCAAGCCTTTTAGAATTTATTTTCCATTTTAGTAGCTGCTGTGTTAAAAGACTGGTTTGGGTTTAGTTTTGGTTTTGTTCCCACATAGGTTTTATGATGCCCTTTATGAAGTGTGGGACTTCTGGCAGGGATTCCTGTATGTTCTGTATGAGTACACAGTTTCAGCTGCTTTTTTAGGTGGAAGGAAATCTGGATACAGAAAGTTTTTGCCCATGATCAGAAAATGCTGATATAAGTAAATAGAAGGCAGTAAGAAAAGGCTATTCACTTGTTGCTGAAACAGTGACCATAGCAGAGTTCCCTACTGAAAAACATGTGAAAACCACTCTTGAAAGTTGGGGCTGGGGGAGGGAAAATGTTATTTTTGGTGTTTGTTTCTTTTTTTGCAAACTTTAATCAGAACAAGGAATTTCTCCTCAGTTTCTCATATAGAATAAAGAACTACTGATTAGTCTTATTTTGTGACTAATAATGCCATGAAATCTCACCTGAGCATCATCGATATACAAAATTTTATGCTGAAGAAAATACAGCTGCACGTGTCATGGTGCTTTTTATTTTCCCAGCCAGTAGCTATGTTTAAAATACAAGGACCTATCGGAATTTCTACATGCTCCATGCAGAAGTGAATTTAAATCATAAAGTCATAGAAAGGTTTGAGTTGGAAAGGACCTTAAGATCATCTAGTTCCAAAACCCTGCCATGGCAGGTACACCTCATATCAGAGGCTCTGTTCAACCTGGCCTTGAACACTGCCGGGGTATTTGCTTCATAGCAGTAAGCTCTTAAGTCCTGTCTTTCTTTGGTAAGAGTCAAATACTCACAAAGACAGAAACTTATCAGTGACCATTTAATCTCAAGGACTGATTCTACTGGCCTAATTCTGTAAGAACAACTAATGGAAAGAAACTCTGGTTTTAGATGTGTTTCATTAATGTAGAAACACCTAGCATTGCTTCTCCATTCCTAGTTTCTAAAATAATCTTAAAAATAGCAGTTTGAAGAGACAGTTGATCTACAGTCCTTAGGAAATCTAAAAATAGCCACCTGTACTAAAAATGCTGGTAACTTTGCTTGTAAATCTTTTAGATTACTTATTATTTACAGATATGATTTTTTTTCCCCTGACACTTATGTACTGCACAAATCAACCTGGTATATACAAATCAAAAGTTATTCAATTAACATAAAAATAGCAGATGTCACATGAAATGTCATTGAATGTCAGGCCTGGACTGAGCAAATAAATTGCCTCATCAGTTTAATTAACAAAACAGGTAACCAAGTCAAATGAATGTACTTCAAATTCTATTAGAGCTATTTGGGATGGGATTGTCCTGCTGAATTTTAATTGAAAATTCACTTTGCAGGACATGGACAAACATTATTTTGCTTGGATGCTCAGTACTGGAGAGACAGGCAATAAAACCTTCTGAGCATCTTAGCATATGGGATAAGCTTTGGAGCTTTGGTTCTGGAGTCTATGAAGCGTTATTTTATTATTAAATTTATAATTAAGAAATTGAAAAGGTTTTTAAAAATTGTAGATCTAAATTCTTAAGAGATCTCTATGATTTTGAGTTTTCTAATAATTATTGTGAGCAGAAGACTGGTCTCCACTGTGCTGAGCATTGTACAGACAGAGTACACTGTCTTTTTCTACACCACTAATGGTGGTGAAGAAAAAGACTGTTATTCTTCATTTTGAAGCGCAGAGAACTCAAGTGACTTGGCTGGTTAACAGCAGTTAGGAGCTATGTGGCAGAACATCTTAATCTCAGTGATTTAACTTCATAATGATATTTCTGCTTTTCATTTTCCTCTTGCTCTTCATGTGAGTAACACAGAATAAGTTCATATTGTTAGAGAGCTTTAATTAGAATAGCTTGGTGGTTTTGTTTTCTGAACATTCTTCTTTGAGTGATGGCCAAATGGGAAGCAGAATGATTAAGTGGAGGTTAAGAAGAGGATCACAAACGCTAAAGTGTTTTTTGGAGTAATGTATGGATATTGTCATCCACAGAAAGACCAGCAGAAACAGAGACCAGGATTCCTGCTAGAAATGGAAAGTGTTCCCCCTTAGCAAATGTAGAATGTACTTGATATAGAGAAGTGAATTTATGTAGCATTGTAGGATATCTCTGTTAATCTGCCTGAATAAGCTAAACAGAAAGGAATTGCAGTAGGACGCCCTAAATACTTGCAAAACAGGAAAAACTGATCAAAAGATCTCCAAGTCAATGTTGTCTGCCAGCATTCCACATTGTATTTTAAATGCAAGCTCAGTTGATCAACCTCCCTATATAGTATTTGTCTTTTGCAAAGGTGTAGCTCAAATCCTTAAAGCTTAATACAGTTATCTTCTTACCTGTAGAAGTGGGTTCAGTATTCCCTTTGCTTGTTTGTTCACTTGACAGTTGTCTCTGAGAAATGGAAGTATGTTTTCAAGCATTTCATGTAAGCAGTTCACATTTAACATCTCTATCGGAGGAAAAAGGGACTTAATCCCTTGAGGTGTTACTGCTAGTTCACTACTTCCGTAGTTATTGCTAAACCAAATTATTTTCTGCTAAAAAGTTGTTTGGACAATCAAACTGACATATGCGTCTGTACATTTACACAAGTCAATCAAGAGAAGGTTGCAACAGCAGAGAAAAAGAGATCCACTGACTACTATGGCAACCAAAGAGTCTCTCAGTTACCTGGTATCCTGGAATACTTTTAAAACCCGAACCCCACCCCCTTCATATTTGAACTGTTTTATTTGATTTTTAGCCCTCCTTCTGTTTGGTAATATCTGAGTAGTATAGAACTAATTAAAGCTCTGATACTGATGTATTTTTTAGTCATAATTTGTGGCCTTTTGGCATACATCAGAATTAACAGAAGATCTCACTATAAACAATCATTCTCTGAATTAATTTCTTGTTTGAAAAAGAACAACTTTGGCTGGGTTGTTAAGCAGAGGAAAAATAAATGAGTTGGATGAAAATATAAACATATGTTGCTGCAAACTCCCAGCCAATGATATTTAAATCCTATTTAAATTAGGCAAAATTTCCCATAAGAGTAAAGAAGGAGAAAGAAGCAAGCAGAATGGGTAAACACGAAAATGTCAGATGAAGTTCTTTATAGCTGCTGTTTACAGTGGCATGTGATTGCCTTCTGCACTGCGTGGCAGTGGCTGTGTAATTACGCTGCGTGAACAGAGAGCTCTAATTGCGGCAGATGAAGTTGATTATTTATGTGCCTCTGTGCTGAAGACATTGGGTTTGTCCATGCTTCCAGCACAAAGGTGTGTACAAACCCAGTAGCTTTGGAAAGGTGGTGTGGCATGCTCCTGAGTTAGTTCAGCAGAGGAGTACATGCATTTAAAGCTAGTGGTAATGGAACAGTGCCTCCTCACTGTTCTGTAAATTTATTGCTGGACTAGCTCCCTGTGAGACATTTACTCATCTTGGGTTTGGTCCATGAGTCACATGAGGGATAAAAATAGAGCAGTTCAAGCAAGGTAACTGACATGCAGAGTTTCCCTGCTCAAATACTGTTTGGCATGAATGTGCCAAAATCAGAAGAAATAACCTTGGAAGCCAGCTAAAGCTAGGAAACCTGTGCTGATAGAGATAATGAAATTTTCATTGACACATGACATAGATGTGCAGACTTCAGTCTGTCTGCAACTACTTACATAGGGGTCACTGTGTATTACAGCTCAGTGGATGAAAAATGCATGGAAGACAGGTAGGATAGGACAAGTATTACGGGATGTTGTCAGCCATAGTCCCTGAGAACAGGAGAAAGGAAAGAAAAAAGAAGATGAGAAATCTTAAGACTTGACAGGCTGAAGGTTTTTGCTTTGAAAGGAATTATTAGATGAGACATTGCTTCTATTGACTGTTGTGCCAAACAGTTTTTGTAATTTTCCAATCATCTTGTTTCTTTGATGTTTTTCTAGCACAAACTGTGCTTAAGTTAGTCTCTTCGAGAGTGCTTGGCTTATAATGGGGGAATGATATGCACTTTCATAAACTGCCGTATTAAAGGTAGGAAGTCTTGTTGAGTATGATTCTTTTCATAGAAGAAGAAATCTCTTTTGGGGCTCTTTCTGTAATAATCCTGGTGTCCTTGGAAGAAGATTGTTATTTCAGTTGAGCTTCTGGGCTTATACGTTTTAAGTTATTTAACAAAGAACCATATCTGTAGCTGGGAGCAATTTCTCCTAATATGCCTTTCTTTTCAAAATACTTAAATGTAGGTTATTGTTTCCCTCTGTAGATATTTTCTTAAGATTGTTCCTAAATTTAAACTCCTGAGAATTTAACAGAAATGGATTCCAACTCACATGCTTATATACACAGCCATATGTTGCAGAGATTAAAATGCATTTGCAACTAAGCTATAGGAAGGCTGTAAGCATATGTAATTTCTCTGGTTGCATATTCCTCACATGGATAGCATTAAAGTATGCTTTATAAACTTCATATAATTTTTCCTAATTCATTAGGAAGAGGCAGGTCAGAGTTGCTTGTGGTTTTCAGTACCAACACTGGTGACACCTATTAAGTAGCAACCACAGAGCTGTAAAACAGGGAGCATTTACCTACGTACTTCTTGTTTTATGTATGAATATACCTCTGCGAAAGGTATTTAAGTGAGTTGAATATATTTAAATAAAGTGATTCCCTTACTTAAATAAAACCAGATGAAATAAATATACTGTTTACTAGCTAGAATATGCAAGTTGGGGAGTTGGTTATTACTATATCTGCATTTCTGAATAATTGTATATGTTGAATTTGAAAATTATTTGTGTTACAAATAGCTGGATATTTTAAGCTGGCAAAGTCATTGCTGCACCTCCACCTGTCCACTAAGTGGTTGTTTAAATAAGATGCTTTGTTTATGGGAGCTTGCCTGTGATTATGGTGTCACATTACCCACTGCTTCTTGTGTATTTTACCTTCATGTAGTTTAAAGAAAGAAAAAGTGTACATGTTTGTACTGAAACAGTTTTGTCATGGACTGTCTGAGTTTAGGGCCTTTTATGTGTCACCAGATGACTTGTATTAAAAGTACCTAAATAGCTAGAAAACAATGGTATAGACTTAGCCAGATGAGATTTGACCCTTGTTCCTTATTGTGACAACCCAAATCAGTCTAAATGGAGGAGGCTTGATAGTGTAGGAAAGCTGTGATAAGAAGGGGGCTCAGGAGATGTCTAGTCAAACCCCTGCTTAAAGGAGGGACTGGTCTGAGATCACACATGGTGGCTTGGGGCTTTAGCCAGCTAAACTTCAAAGGACGGAGCCTGCACATACTCTGGGCAAGCTGTTCCCATGCTCGAAATAGTCTCTTATCTATTCTGAACCTCTCTTATAGAAATTAATGCCTCCCATGCCCTACCCTGTCCCACTGTGTAGAGCCTGATTTTGTTTCAATGACCTCCTAGCTGGAGCTGACTCCTCCTCAGGCTGAACCAGGCCTGGTCCCTCAGGTTCTTCTCACAGGGTATGTGTTCAGCCTCATAGACCCTGTACTGTTGCAAATAACCTATATTCTAGGAGGGAGCAGCATGGGGTGGAGCAAAGTTGAGGTGCAGACCCAGATACTCCATGTGTTTTCCAGGTGTCATAGAACCAAAAAGTGGAAGTGTTGAGATGGTAGGGAAAGTATTTTGAGTGCTCTTTATTTGATGGCATGTTGGAGAGGGGAATGAGAAGTTTGAACAGCTGAATAGGAATACGTGTTTAAGACAATATCACCTGTGCCACATTATACCATGCAGCTCTCTGCTTTGGAACAATGATGACATTAATGCTTTTCTCCTTTTGTACATGATCCAGAGAACATAAAAGTATTAGCAAAATCAGTGACATGATTGCCTAGATGTGATTGCCTAGGTCTAGTGGAGGGTCTGAATACTGTACTGTATTAGGAGAGTGCTTCCAAGGATTTAAGTGTATTTTGTAACCAGTCTTTCTGTATGTCTTTCCTTATAACTGTAGGCATTGGCTCCAAAATTGATAATTATTTCCATTTGTAAATGCTCTTTCCAAATGAATAAAAACAGTTGTCTCCTTTCTCAGCCCACTTACTGAGCCAAGTACATGATACTCTGAATCAATAGGTAAGATTCCCTTTCTCCCCTACTAGATATGAATTTCCTGTTGCTTCTCACTTTGCCTTGTATTTTAGTCTCTCTTTATTTTCAAAATGGTGATTAATCGATCTACAGCTTTTAATATTCAAAGCTGCATGACTTTTTCTCATTATGCAATCAGTAAAATTAATGAACGACAGCTCTGCACCACCAGGAGGTCTAGCTGAATAGCAAAGGGACTATAGAAACAGGTTATTTTTGGGTCACTGTCAGGATGGATTTAATTTTATTGCAGAGAATATTTCTTCTAGTATAGAAAAATGTTTAGTGAATATTCTTGTGTTAATGAAAACTGTTAAATTTATGCTACTTCATATTTGGCATCACTTCAAAACATCACTGCTGCACTTTGTTAATTTACTTTTGAATTCATTTCTGTGCATAATGGCAAGAAGGAAGAAATGTGAGAAACCCCAGGTCTTGGAAGAGTGAAACTGATGGCTCTAAGAAACAGCAAATCAGTTTGGATTAGGCTCTGGATCCAGTTATTTAGTGAA